GATTTAGTCATTTTACCTTTAAGACATGACTCACATGTAGGCAACCTATCCTCTCCCCTAAGGTCGAGTTTAGGTCCCAATTTGTGAATCCGCTTTTCGGATATATGACCTAATCTAGCATGCCAAATTGTGAATGAACTATGATTATCTAATTTCCTTTTATTTTGTTGAATGGTTAGGATGGGACTTTGTGGTGTAATGGTATACAACCCATTTGTCAAATTTCCAGAATAAATAAAAGTTGTGTCTTTGAAAATAGAACATTTTCCATTTTCAATGACAAACTTAAAACCTTCCTTATCCAATATTGGAATAGAAATAATGTTTTTTATTAAATCCGGAACATACAAACAGTTTGATAGACAAATCTTTACATCATTATTCAATGCTAGATAAACAGTCCCAATAGCTTTAGCAGCAACTCTTGCCCCATTGCCCATCCTTAGGATTGTTTCTTCACCATCTAGCATATTACTTCTTGCCATCATCTGCAAATCATTGCAAATATGTGAGCCACAGCCGGTATCCAATACCCAAGAAGAATCGTTAACAGACAAGTTAACTTCAACAAAATAAATACCTGAACTTTTCAGACTAGCAAGATACTCCTTGCAGTTCCTCTTCCAGTGCCCAGTTTTGCCACAATGAAAACATTCATGATCGGCCTGAGAATTAACCTTCTGTTTGTTCTTCCCTTTATCATTATATGCCTTCTTGTTGGGCTTATTGGGAACCTTTCCCTTCCTCTTCCTTTTCTTAGACTTAGTAGCCTTTGATCCGGAAGTGGATCCAACAAGAAGTACCGGCTTGTCCTTTTTAATGGTGGACTCAGCCGTCTTCAACATGTTTAATAATCCTGGAAGATCAGTTTCCATATTATGCATGTTGTAGTTAACGACAAAGTTATCGAATGACGCTGGCAGAGATTGCAACAATAAATCCACATAGAGTTCATTATCCATAATGACTCCAAGTGATTCGAGTCTTTCCACAAGAGCTATCATCTTCAGTCCATGATCATGAACTGAAGAGCCCTCGGTCATACGACACCTGAAAAGCTCTTTAGATATCTGATATCTAATTTGTCGCGTCCGATCACCATACAACTCTTGCAGGTGAGTTAGGATTTCAGAAGCATTATTCAGTAATTCGTTCTGTCTCTGTAGCTCATTAGACATTGATGCTAGCATGTAGCACCGAGCTTGGAGATTGTCATCAACATGACGCAAGTAGGCTCCATACTCTTCAGCAGTCTGATCCTCCGGTGGAGGAGGAGGAGCTGTTTCCAAAACATACTCTCGCTTCTCAGACTGAAGAACAATCTTTAGGTTCCTCAACCAATCATTGAAGTTGGGACCAGTTAATTTATTATGATCAAGGATACTCGCGATTGGATTCTTAGCCATTTTAGTAGTTTGATCTACAAAAATAACAAACGAAGCAGAAAATAATTAGACTATGGAATTTATATTCATTTAATATTAGGTCTTTAACATTAAATGTCTCCCACTAATTTAATTAGAACCTCATTATAATTATGAAAATCATTATTTTCATAGTGGGCTTGAAGTCCAATAAAAATATTTCATGTCCCAATTTTATGATGCCACCATGAAACAATTTTATCGGTAGTCAACTTTTTGACAATTGTATCTCTATACAACCTTCAAGATGTTTTGCCTCACCTTTCCTTATATACCTCAATTTTATGACTCCATATATATTACTCGGTGTCAAATCAAACCCATCAAAACTTTCATGATAACGGCCCACCAGAGTGTCCCACGACTCATGGCCAACACAAAGAGGAATCCGTCTCACGAATATCAATATATTTAATAGAGTTCACAGCTTTCGACATAGAATCATCCCACGACTCGTGGCCAATGATAAAACATCGTAGCATCTCATGTCATCTACTTTTGATGGAAGGCCGGGATTAATAAGTTCCAACTTATTTTTATCCATTATTGATTTGATATGGAATTAATCAAATTAATCCGTTTGGGTTCCTTGATCTCATCGATTACCATCTTTACGTTTATTTACCGGTTTCAGTCATCTAATGAAACGAAAGCGTAAATAAACCTAACATACATCTAATGCATGGTGGGATGATCATGTCCTTGCCTATTCGATCCATTCGAGCCAAAATGGATCTATGCCTATGTACGTGATAAAACAAATAATAGAACTACTTCTATTACATTTATTCTATCTACCCGTACAAGCACAGGCCTTCGAGATTACAACTTGTAAAATTACCCACACATGCGTGGGCCTTTGTCATCGAACGGTCTCCACCTTGATCTAATCTCTAACGATACAAAATTTAAAATTTTACAAATTTCATCTCAAGAGACTCGCAGGTCTCGATAAATTACATTTCTTCAATCATATTGAAAAACATAATTAAACATCCATTCATTCATTCAATCACATTGAAAATGAAAACATACATTCAATCATATTAAATATGAGGCTCATGATCATCCCTAAATCATTCATCTAATGAATAATGTTTTTTTTTTCTTTTATTTATCTCGCGAGATAAGTCGCGACTCGCGAGTCCAACTCGCGACTCGCGAACAACATCTCGCGACTCGCGAGAAAAACAGAGACAAAAACTCGCGGCTCGCGACTCGCGACCTAAGTCGCGACTCGCGAGAAAAACTGAGGCTCCAGGAAAAAAAAACTGAAATTATCATGTCGCGACTCGCGACTATGACTCGCGACTATGACTCGCGACTCGCGACTTCAGAATTTTTTTATTTTTTTTTATTTATTTTTGATAATTAATATATTTATCTCATAAACATTTAATTATCTTGCTTAACTCATAAGCAATAACAAATCAAAATCTGTTTTAAAGACGATAAACCTGGGCTCTGATACCACTGTTGTGTTCGCTAGTACCGTACGGGCTTTAAGCAGCGGAATTTAAAATTTTTCAAAATAAGTATTTATCGTATAAATACAACACCCGTACATACTAATTGCGAATTAACTGATAGTCATCTTTAAAACATGCATCATATACAAATTTTGATTTGTTATATAAAATAAATACAAATACAAAGTATTTACCGAATGTCTTGAACTCCTTCAACGACGATGTGGATTGTGGGAATCGGTTCCCGGTTTGATAACTTCAACGGATTGATGTTACTCACTTTAGGAATCCAAGTGTCTTCCCTCTAAACGTATCCACCCTATGAAGCCCGGTTCCGACGACCTTCCTTCGCTAGTAGGAATGTCTCGGTTTTCTTGTATAGGAATATGTATGAATTTTATTTTGGGAATTTTCAAGAACTCTTTCTTGATGTTTATGAAGAACTATTCTTCTTTCTAACACTTAGAAATTTTAGGAATGAATTCACCTTAAATGCAAAACCATTTTGCATCTATTTATACTAAACATTTTAGCATAAAATAATCAACATTTAGTAATATTTAAATAAAATCAGATTTTATTTAAATAATATTTACTAACTATTGACTTTGAATTTACTAACTATTGACTTTGAAAATAATAAATAATGTTAAGTGGTTCAAACCACCTTTAACCACCATTTTATTATAATCATATTTATTATTTTAATCCTTAAATCATATTTAAAGATAAAAATAATAATAGAATAATAAATCTTGAGAATCTTTTCAAGACTTTATTATTATATTCATTTTCCCAATTTTCATCCATATTATAATAATCATATTATTATTATTTTGGTTTGGAAATTTAAAATCCAATTTTAAATTCCAATATATTAATTTAGTAATTACCTTAATTACTAAAGTAATATCCAAAATGTAATTAACCAATCTTATTGATTAATATATTCCTTTAATTGACATCTAATCAAATTAGATATTGTCAATTAATTCTAACTCTTTAGAAATACATTTTTCACCTTTGTTCATAATAGGTGTGACCTTTTAGGTTCACCTTAATACTAGTAGTGGGTTTACAACACTTTGTAATTTGAGTTAATCACATTAACTCTTATTCATGAATTAACCCTTTAATTCAAGAACCCACATATCATGGGAACACCTAGCAAGTAGCATGAATCTAGTATTAAGTGAATAGCGAGTAAACCTATTCCGATTACAAGTGCATACATGTAGAATCCCTTCGACATCCAATTTCCCGATTAAGTCTTGGGTATGATTTTGTCGAAACCCAAATTGACTTAATACTATGATTCTATTTCAAAGTGTAGTAATCCGGGTATGAATCTCCATTCATCTCTGCCTTGGCCAAGGACTTTGAATTACTAACATTGAAACACATAGGAAATTCACTTATCTTCATAAGTGTCGAATCCTTTGTTGGCCACTAACAAACTTCCATACATATTAACATAATACCCAAAATATCCCTTTATACGATAGTGCTAGCTACCAAAAGGATAAATCAAAGTAGAATGTAATATGCACAAAGTTACCATTGTGCCTCAAGTCTAAGGATTAGTCATGTACTATTGTAACATGAAAATTCTTTATTCGACTGAATAAATTCTTCATTAAGAATTTTCATACGGTCATGTTCAGTGAACTTGTTCTCTAACAAGCACCCACATAAATGTACTTGCGTCATACGCTAATGTTGATGGAATGCAACATTCTTGTCCAACAAGCATACATACTATGTGCAAGTCTTTTATGGATTATTCAATATCCCTTCTCGAAACATCCGTCGACTTGGAACTGTATTTAAGATCACAGCTTTCAAGGTATGTTCCATGATTACCATCTCTATGCGCAACCATACCTTATAACCATAAGTGATCTAGGGACTTTATCTTAAGTGCATTTATAGTATAAACGCGTACTCTTAAAATAAAGTGTTGCCTTATTTACAATATAATTCCAATAGATCGTATTTACAAGTAGAATACGTCCAATCCGATTGGAACGCTGGGTATACTACTCTAACAGTACCCTCGTGCCACCCGAAAAATACCCGTGCCCTCAACCACGGGTATTTCCCTCACCTCATCATCCAGTGGGTTCCTCCCCACGATACTTAAGGTGCTCCCCTTATACTCCCGCGCGTGAAAACCACGTTGACCAACATAACTAGGGCCATCTCGTGCATATTCTCCTGCCCGATAACACCCTGGATCCTGCCCACTTCTCCCGAGCCCATCTCTAGTTGTCGAACACGCTCAGAAGCCTAAAAGCCGATGGCAAGACTTGGGTCAAACTAAATGAGGCCACGGTCCAAACAGTGGCATTCTCGCCGCCGGTCCAATCTTGTACGTAGAATCGAAGCCTCATGATTTTCTCCTTGGGAAGGTCCAATTTGCCTGAGTTGGGGAATCGGGCCTCGACGCTTGGCCCAAAGAAAGTCGCTACGTAGAGTAGCAACGAGAAAAGGAATGCATATTTGGCCTTTTTACTAGTGTTGTGCATTGTGTTTAGTGTTGTGGATTATTGAACAAGTGCTATCAAGCAATTTATAGACAATTTCAGTACGAACAAGAGCCACAAAAGGAAAGAGATGGTGCATTATTAATTTATTATAGCTATAGAGTAATTAAGTTCATATGTGTACGAACAAGTCGACTAAATATACTTTTATCACAAATATACATACTAATGATATGAAATGTCATACTGTTTTTTTGTTCTTGTTTTGTACATATATGTTGAAAAACTATAATTGCTTAATCGTTACTCGTTGGCATGTCTCAAAGCAGCCTTTTTCTCATTTCAAAGGAAGCCATATATAGTACTAATCCTCTCTCTTGCTGATCTTTCTTTCTACAGTAACCCCATATATGTCATGCTACAAATTCTTGATAGATAATACATAGTCACAAGAGGCACAACACAACTATAAAAATTGTTTTAGTTTCCAAGTCAATTTCCGGTAACGATTTCGACACAGAAGCATATGCACATCAAGAAAACTCTAAGCAGATCATTTTAAGTTGAACTTGTCAAAAATCTTGCAGCCTTTATTGTTATGTTGTCGAGGCTCGGCTATCTTCTTCCCATTTGCTCTTCGGTATTTCTCCAGAATCAGTGATAATTACCTTCTTCCTCGGCTTCCCACTATAAGTCCCTGCACCCCCTTCAATGGCATACACAGTATCCATGCCGTCTATGACTTTGCCAAACACAACATGCTCACCATCTAACCTGCAAAAATTCGAGAACATATAATCCAACTTGGCTGATTAAAGTGAGTTATTTTGAATAAAGTAGATTGAGTGGATGATCTTGAATTTGAAATTAAATAATATTTAAAATGTAATGATTAAAATTAATTTGTCCATTGCAAATGGAGCTGGAAGAGTCATTGTTGACAATTCTCCTGGCATAGTGCAAATAATGGACTAGATCAAAATGGCGCAGTTAAATTCTAGTGCTTCTTCTATTAGTGAAGTTTCTAGAAAAAAAATATATCAAACGGCGCAATGCACCTTGGGTCGCTACGGAAATAGCCTCCTTGTATAATTACAAGGGTAAGGTCTGCGTACAACTGACTCCCCAGACCCCAACCTTTTGGGAATATACTGGGTATGTTGTTGTTGTTGTTGTTGTTGTAATGATTAAAGTTAATAAAATGTTAAAAGTAAGAAAGAGATTATTGGAAATGATAAGTAGTTAAAATTATGTGAGTGGATGAATAATGAATTAAAACTGATGTGATGTGGGAGAATTATTGATCGGTATTTATTTAATTATATTTATAAAAAGTAAGAGAGTTAGGTTGAGTTGGATTTTGAGTTAGCTGATTGGATATGAAATACCTCAAGCATTTATAACCATTCAGGTCTTGCAAAGATCAACTATCCACATTGCTTAGCAGAAATATCCAACAGTTCAAAAGTAACTTTATTAAGAGATGTGCATATTTTGTTCACAGCACCATCTCCAAAAAGCATATGTTTACCAGTAAGCCTTGACTGTTGTAATGAAAAATTGTGAGCCATTGGAATCAGGTCCCGAATTCACCATGGACACAACACCTGGCAAAAAAAAGAATACTAAGATTTCGAAAGTTTATTATTGTGACCATATCATTACCAAAGCACTGGCGCCAAAACGAAGGAACGATGATAATGCTGAAAAACCTCAAAGGAGAGAACATAGAAAAATATCCAAGTTATTTTTATAGTGTGTATTAAATATATAGTCTTTCAATCGGAGTTCTGTAAATTTAAAGGGCAAATGAGATATATTCTTGTAGCTAAGTTGCACTGTTCAGAATAGTGGGAAAAAAAGAAAACGACAAAACCGAAGGCGATTAAAGACCTGGATGTGAGTGCTTCAACTTGAAATTCTCATCACGGAAAGTGCCACCATATATCGATTGATTTCCTTTGCCATCTCCCGAGACAATATCTCCTCCTTGTATCATGAATCCTGGTATAATACGATGAAATGGGGTTCCTTTATAGTGTAGTACTTTACCATTAGAGGCCTTCCCCATCTCCCCTGAATCCAGAATACAGAATACAGACAATTTAGCAAAATGAAACAGAAAACAGGAAAAAAAAAAAATCATGCCGAACGAGATTGTTAGAAGCAAGAATGCATTCAGATATTGGTCAGTTCTTAGAATGTACCTGTACACAAAGCCCTAAAGTTCTCTGCAGTACAAATATCAACAAAATCAGAAATGGAAGCAAAAATCAATAAATTTGTCATGGAAAATGGAATAAAATTTAATCTTCATGGAGAAATTCAAGGTGACAACAAGAAAATATTACCCACAGTCTTTGGCACGACTTGACCATATAATCCAATCGTAATCCTCCCTGTAAACATTACAATGTAACACATGAAAACATATCACAATTTATACATCATGGAATGGAAAGTGAACAGGTCATTGGTGCCAGAAAAACTAGAATACATACAAATCACAGCACAGTCTTGCATAGACCGTGCGATTTGCGTTTGAAAACTGGCTAGAAACTATATTCATACTGACAAAATAAGCTGTATGCTTTTGATATAAACCATGTTGTCTGGTGTACCTATACGTTGTTTATCTATGTCAACATCCAAAAATACTCTGTGTGTGATCTCATATACCTCTTCCGGTTTCTCTACCTCCTGGACATACAAAGGAAAGAAATTAGAAAAAATAAAAAAATAAAAAAAATAAAAATTGTTCGCGGGCAGTATAGGTTACATATTGGAAAAAAACAAAGCCTCGAATTCAAGATATTTTACATAAAACGACGTATGTGATATTTTTAAGCCAAAATGACTAAGCAAATGGAGTAGTAATAGAAGAATAGCCTCTCTCCCAATGATTTCTTAGCTAGCACAATTTTTCTTCAATCCCGTTTATATTCGTATAAAGAAATTTCTGTTTAGGTTCTTAGTGTTTTAGGTTTGGCAAGATACGAACCACCAACCACCGCTTGCCATTGCTAAAAACAGAAAACGATCAAAGGTCCAAATCCAATCTCTTACTGTTCAAAAACTGCCCCTTATAGAATCTTTTATTTTCTTATCTTTTGGCAACTTCCAAATATACAATCCAGCCAATTAGTCTCTGTACAACTCAAATCAATCGACTTATTTTCTCTTCAAGAGCAGTTCTTCCACTGGTTAAGCTGATCCCCAAATGGAGGAGCTTCTCATCAAATGCCACAATAATTCAATTTTTTTATTTTTTTTATTTTTCCCACACATCAATTTTGAAATTGCAGTAACTTTCTGAAACATAAATTTCAATCAGATCTACAGCAGATGAACTGGGACAATCGCCAATTCAGCTCAATCATCCTCAAAAACATAAAGCAGACCCAAATCACAAACAGAATCTTAATAACCTAAGAACCCGTAAAACTTCAAATCCAAGAGACCACCCACTCGAACAAAACAAAATTTCAAAACACAAAGGGGGGTTTTCACCTGTGGAGAAAATGAAGAAGCGATGAAAATGAGAACCAAAACAGCCAATAAAATCAGCAAACTCCTCGGTTGGAGCAAAACGGAGATCTCACGGCGCATTTCTGGATCGTTCATCCCTTTCCCACCATTAAATCACTAAACATTTAACACATAATTTCGCAAGAAGTCACCCCAAGCAACCAGACACAAAAACAATGACTGTGATTTGGTACTCTTCACTCCTCCCAGTGTGTGAGATAATCAACAACTTTTTTCTTTTTCCTTTTCCTTCGTTTTATTATTATTATTATTTTTTTTTTTTTCTCTGGGCTCGAGGAGAAAAGGAATCAAGAATAACGGAGACGGATTATTGCCTCTCTATCATAAGTACGTGCTTTGGGATTATTAATTTGTTCATTTTGTGTTGGGCCCAAATTGGAATTGAAATTGGATTTTGGTCTGAGGGTGTGTTCTTAATGGGTTACGAATTGAATTCAGTTATATAGGTTATGATGGGCCTAGTACTGGGCCTATAGTGCTTGATACAAATCTTCTAAAAAAAATTCAAACATTTTTAACCCAACTCTACTATCATCAATATTATCAATTATCAATATAATTAAACAATATCAACTAATCAATCTTACAAGTCACACTAACTTTAATTCACTATTCATCCACTTACATAATTTTAACTAACCATCACTTCAAATCATCTCTCTCATACTTTTACATCAAATCAACTTTAATTTTTCATTTTAAATATTATTTTAATATACTCACTAACAACTAACCATACCACATTTTTCAAAACTAGTGTGTATCCCGTGCGCTGCACGGAGGGGTTTTTACTTAAAACCTTTTCTAAGACTTTATATTATACATAGTTATTTATGTTTAACATCTTATTATTATAAAAAAAGAAATACTAAATATGAAAAATTATATATTATTTATTTGAATATAATGAGTGTCTCAACCAAACTAATAACATCCAACATATGATATATGATAAAATTAATTATATGATCGTCATACTTTTAAAGTATAAAATATAATTTATGATATCATTGACCATATTTACCAGTTGTATTTAAAGTTATCATTGACCATATTTTTATGAATTAGGGTTTACAAAATATCTTTTTCAAAATAACAATTTTTTTTAATTTGAATTTGACTTTTTCATCCAACCGCCATTTTCCACAAGAATAAAAATAGTATTTTGGAAAATTTTAGACGTGAAAATAAATAAAATTAATTTAATAGTAATCGATTAATTTAATATTATTCAAAATTGTTTAATTCGGTCAACCCGATCTTAGTGCACGTTTCATTGAAACAATTGCTTACCCAAAAAAAAGGTAATCGCTTACAAAAAAAGGAAGTGAAATCTATCTATATAATATAAATCGGATTTGAAAAAAAAAAGGAAATGAAATTTCATAATTAATTAATTTAAATTGATGTTATCCGATTTATATCAACTCCCTTCCAAAAAAAAAGGAAATATCCGATTCCTACCAAATCGATTAAAAAAAAAGGATTATGATATACGTCCAAATAAATTACAATTGAAATGTAGGCGGGATTATGAAAAAAAAATAAAAAAAACTTTACCGAATGTTTGAAAAAAAAAATCGGATTAAAAAAAATTAAAAGGAAAAAATTCAAAACGTGAAATTAAAATTAAAAACGTGAATTAAAATTAAAAAAATTAAAAATACAAAATTTACCAAATCTCAACCCATCAAAAAAAAAGGAAAATCGAGTGAAATTAAACGTGAAAAAAAAGGAAAAGCGAGTGAATTAAAAATGTACCAAATCGGATTTTAAAAAAATGGTAACAAATCTCATCTCATCCTAAAGAAAAGGAATTATGACAAATTTAACAAAAAAACAACCAAATCTTATCCTAAAATAAAACAATCCGATTTCCATAAATCACATCCAAAATCAAATTAAGTTAGGCGGGATAAATGAAAAAAATTCAAAAAGAGTTTCCAAAACAGGTAATTTTCGAAAAATTTGAGAGGGAAAAATTATGTTTAAGCGGGAAATGAAATATTTATTCAAACATTATTCAAACATTTTTCCTTCTCCGTATTATATAGTAATAGATTAATCAAATCAAACCAAAAAATCCAAACTAAGTCCAAAATTTATTATATCTAAGCATCCAGTGAGTGGTGAGAAATGTCTTTAGATGTCCATGTACATGCTATGCGCACACTCTTTAAAAAATTGTATTTTGCTGATGATAGTTTTGATTAAAACGGTAGGCCTTGCCTTTAAGTGAGTTATATTATTTCAATAAATATTAATAATTATGTATGTAAATACTATATTTTAAACTTACTTAATATAAGCATATTTTTTTTATAAAAACATATCGTTAGAAATGATTAGATAATCTAGCTAATACCCGTATTAATATGTATTGATTAATATAAGATTAATAGACAAAAACACGTAAGAGCTTTGGACATATTGTATAGTGTGGTTAATAAGTGATATTTTAAATAGTGTAAGTGATATTTATATAATGAGATCTGTCTTTTTATTGAATAAGCATGCATTTTTATTTAAGAATAAATGGTTAATTAGTCGTCAAATTAAAAAGTAGTGTGTTTTCGTAACGACAAAAATAGTAAATTATAAGTTTAGTTGACTACCAAAATCAGAAAAAATTGCGGTTTGCAAAGAATTCAACTCTGATTTTTCTTCATCACCGACCCATGACAAACCAGGGGCAATCAAGCATGAAAATGACCCCAAAATAAAAATAAAACCTTGTTATTTGTTTAATTTTCACTTATCTATTAATGCACCTAAGTAAAACAATGTTCTTATTTGAAAAACAGGGGCAAACAAGAATAAAAATGACCTCACAATAAAAATAAAACCTTGTTATTTGGTTGATTTTTGCTTATCCAAAAATAAGAAAACCGGTGAAGTGGTCAGGAAAATTATCAATTCAGAATGAAATATAAATATATAATATACTTGTTTTGTTTTTCGTTAGCATAATTAAATTATTAGTCAATTTAAATAATTAACTTGGACTGCCCTTTATTTCCCAATCTGTGGATTTGTTGAACACTAATTTGTATTTATTTTATTTTAATTTTTTTTTTCCTTATTATATTTGTCAACTATGTAATTATGTACGGAACACTCAAGTTATATCAAACCTCAGCTACTTGCTGCATGCAAGAGTTATCTATTGCATTTCACAAATTATTTTTTGATAGATGATTAGATGATTAGGCGAGTGGAATACTTTTTCAATAAAAATAAATTTCTATTGTATAAAATGACATACTTTTTTGTTGGTGTTATTTTTAGTGAAATGTTTCAATTTAAAAGCAAGCATGTAAGTTAGAAAAATATGATTGTCTAATCATTAGTTTATCCATCAATTTTACTGGTTACATTTTGATGTCGCATTATAATGTCATATTTATGTACATATGGTTTATCTAATAAAATTAAACTCAAAATTATAACATAAAGTGGATCACATGAATCCAAATATATTATATATATAGGTGTGTAAGTAATTAGATTGGAGTAAAGTTGTTGTTAGAAACACCTAATTAATGGTACGCCCCTTCATATTTTTAATCCATAAATACGTATACGTACGATATTGAAATGTTATTTATCAAAAGATAAAAATATGATATCTAATAGTATAAGTATGAATTTTTATTTTAAAAAAAAAATATGATGGAACGACTTAGCGAATAGTTAGACTGTCTCACATAAAAATTTATGTCCAGTTATATAATTATTGGGTAAAATGTGGTGAGGACCAAGAGTATGAAAAAATGATTCAGAAAAATAAAAAAATAAAAAAAGGGAAGAAGAAAGAAAGAAAATGGGTGGCTGAGTTGATATAAGAAGAAGAAAGACATATATATACATATATACAGACATGGTTTCATTTTTGTTTGATGGAATAAAAATTAGTTCGTGGAAAATGTGCTTGAATATAATTTTGTAGAATATATATTATTTGTCTTTATCGTAATTTTTACATTATAATTCATATATTGACGCAAATTAAAAATGAAATCCAATCATTGTATTTTATATTTTTAGCAAAAAAAGTTAGTTATTCACTCACATATATTTGATTATAAATTATTTTAATTAATATTTTATTAATTTTATATTACACTAACTCTAAAATATATATTTATATTTTATTTATACAGACATAGGCAATCTAAAAAATTATGCTTTTCTCTTGTTCTATTTTTCTTATTTATTTATTTATTTTACTATGCCAAACTTTATGAAAAATTATTGAGATCAGTGACAAACATAAAGGTACTCACCACACAGTGAAAGGAAAATAACTCTTCCACTTGCAATAAAATGACAAAACTCAAAAGTCACAAATTGCATCATTTTTTTCAGAATTTGAAGGGTTAAGATTTAAGAGGCAAAACTTCAATTAAGACTCCTATCAAACACCATGATGTCATATCAATCATTCATTCGATAATATCCAAAATAACTAACAATTTAAGAACTTAACAAAATCCCAAAAGAACTAAATCAAAATATCAAATAAAATATTAAAAGATGAAACATGAATCATGATATTTTTTTCTTGGAAAAAATAAATTTCAATAAAAAAAATACTTATTAAAAAAAGTTAATAGTAGTAATAAACAATACATAACAAAAATAAACAATCACATAATTTGTTGCGAAGAATACATGTGAGAATTGTCAGGTGGGCCGGCCGCATTATGTTTCCTTATCATGACAGCCTGTTGATATCGTACAATGGCGCCAACTTGTGTTTCTTACGACCGTACATGTCATCCTCAAAGAAACACTGTCCTGATAAGCAGCCCTACTTACCTATTTGATTTAACAATTATTCAATTTTGTCATATAAGTAGTTAAAGCACCTTTTTCAATGAATTATTGTAGTTAATTGATATTTATTTGTGAAATATTATATAGCTTACAATTGAACGAGCATCTTGTGAGTTTGGTTCGACGCTTAAGGCTCGAGCTCGATTTGACTCATTTATCAAATTCGGACTCGTTTCATTAAGAGTCGAATGAGTCGAGTCGAGTTTGTGTACATAATGACGAGACGAACTGGGCTAAACCAGTTAAAGTTAAAAAAATATGATTTTTATATTACCTGTTGATTTTTTATCTAAGCTTAGCTCGTTAAAGCTCCAGTTCGTCGTTAAGACTCAAATTCAGTTTGTTGACAGCTTGACTCGCTTGATAATGGCGCATATCCTAGCTCAGGTATCAAAACCTCGAGCTTGGATCGAGTCGTTTACACTTTAATATAAAGCAATAGATTTGTTATTCAAGCAAATTCCAGTTGTGTTTCTCAAACTCGAATTCTTACTTATTTAATAATGAGTCGGCTTGGATTATTTAAGCAACAAATATAAATACATAGCTGATGTAAGCTCCATAAGTTTTTTTTTTTTTTTAAAAAAAGGGGAAAACCCCACGAGGGTAGGGGTTAAGGCAGAACCCCCAACCTGTGCATAAATATGTCGAAGGTGGGCAGGAGAGTCCAGGTCTACAAGCTCATACAGCAGACACAAACAAAAGGCCAAAAACAAGAGAGAAAAGCAAAAGAAAGGGACAGAAAAGGAAAAAAAACAACGACCAAAATGAAAAATCTGAAAAATGGGCTAACATGTGCTCATACAAACACTCTGTGCGGGTTAAAGCGTAGAAAATCAAAACAACTACCCAAATTTAAAAGATGGGTAACCAAGATGATTCATCTGTATAAGCGTGCAGAGTCGGAGAGGGGTGCCATCTGCCTAAAAGATGCGCATCTGAGGAGTGGAGGCACCGATGCAAACTAGGAAGTCAGCGAGTCGGTTCCCCTCGTGGAAAATGTGCGATATCCCATGGCGGACCAACTGGAGTGTGGATCTAATGCGCATAAGTGGTTGTTGAATCTACCATGAATCCTGATGGCCTGATGTCAAGAGGGTGACGACAGCGGCGACATCCAGCTCAATCCAAATGTGAGAAGAGATAGTGACTGCGATCTGAAGTCCGTTCTGAAGCACCTGAATATCTGCATCATAACTCGAGGTGGCCTGAAGATCGGCGTGGAAAGCAGTAATGAGATCTCCGCTATGGCCCCTAATCAGAGGCCCCCTCCTCTGGCGGCTTCAGTAAGTCGGTCGTAAGATCCGTCGGTGTTTAGCTTAACCTAAAGGGAATTGGGTATCAGCCAAATAACGGCTCTGGAACGTGGGTGCTGGACAGTCGACAGCGGGGATGGTATGAGACGATGCGGTGGCGTGCAACATGTCCAGTCTTTGAATTTGAGTCTGTCCAAGTTTTTGAGGAGAGATAGGTGTCGCTCAACTTGCAAAACAACGTGAGAGCACATAAAAATAATACCCCTATACTTCACACTATTCTTTCCTGTCTAGATATGAAATGCAAAACAACCTGAGAGCACATAAAAGTCCGATTTGGTGTCGTTCTGGTAAAGCTCCATTAAGCTTCACTTGGCTCTTTTCATAAACCTTTTAAACTTTAATCGAGTTGTTCACAAATATGAAAAAGCATATTTCATATTAGTCCTTCATTTCCCTTTTTTATATATTGCACTCTTNTTGTTGAGACAAACAAATCTTCAAAAGATTTGTACATTGCAATTTGGACATACTAAACTTTGCCGTATCAAACAATCCAAACCCGGTTAAAAAATAAAAACTCTAGTACGGAATCCTTTTTAACGTCGAGTTATGTGGTAAGTTCTAGATGAAATTGACTTTAGACCTACCATAAAAATGTATTCTTATCATGGATGATATATGACAACGGGCTTATCATCTCTTATAATCAACCAGGATTATCACAATTAATTAATTACTTAAAAAGAGGGACCCGCCAAATGTAATTCGGGCTAATGGGTCAAAAACCGCGGCTGGTGCTTAATTGTTTGCTTGAAAACTTTTCTACTTGCCCTGACCTTTTTTTTAAAAAAAAAAAATGAAAGAGGCTATCATATTCAATTGATTTGATTAAATGGGAGGTTTAGAATTTTCTTTATATTATGATTGTAAGTTTACCCCATTAATAGTTTTTTATGATAAAATTTTATTAATTATTTTGTATGAAATTTGTGAAATATATTTATGTGTATTTTAATATTCACTATATATAGTATTGATTATTCATAGTTAATTTAGTACAATTTTATTAATTAGCTGTTAATAATTTTTATTTATTACATATTCAAACTTAATATATTAAAAATATAAATTCTTGTGTGTGGCCAACTTGATGTTAGGACTTAGACGCGTCAACTCACTATGAGTTAATACTTATAGTACAAAATTTCATATCTAGTTTTGTAGAGTGACGTTTCAATTTAAAAAATATGCATATTCGTTGAAAAAAGGATGGGTGTAAAATCGCTAGGTCTGTCTAGCATCAACTTTATTGCTTAAAAAAATTGTACATCAAAGTAATATTAAATCAATCACGATTGTTAGGTTAAAAACATCATAATAAAATTAAATAGACTAAATATAAATATTATTTAAAATAATTATTATCTAATAGAAATTTTCTATCCATTTATTCTATCCATCTGGGAATTCGAGTTTAAATTAGCTAGGGACCGACATCGATTCCTCGGCGATAACGTGTTGCTGCGTCCTAATGAGGAATTTTTGTAGTGTGTTGTGCTTATTCTGGCACAGTGCCCATCGAAACATAGATTTCGGCTTGAGGCCGACAATTGCGGAGACCAGGAAGGTCTCCGAATGACACGGTTCCATGTTCTGAACACGTTCATTAAAATGAGAAACGTAATCTTTCAAGCTTTCGTCTTCCTTTTGGACGATGTTCGTTATAGATTCTTTTGGTATCAGGCAGACTTAGGCCCCTATGAAATGAGACCTGAAAGCTGACCTTAGTTGCTGCCACTTCCAAAATAAGTGGTGCGGCAGCGAATGATACCACTTCTGGGCCTTTGGACCCAGGGTCAGAGAAAACATGCGGCACCGTAGGGCGTCCGAGGCCCCGTGCAAATCCATCCAAGAAACATAATGTCCGAGATGGGCGTCGGGATCCGAGGTCCCGTCATATAAACTGACCTGTGGAACTTTAACTTTTCCCGGTAACGGTCCCGCCATCAACTCAGGTGCCAGCAGGGGGTCGGTCTCTATATATACATGCCCCGAGGTGGGGGACCTCTGTGGGGATCTCTCTTAGATTTTCTGCCATTTGAAGCTCGACAACCTTCTTCCGCAAGGCTTCCAACTCCGTCACATTCTGCCTGGCAGAGCGGCTCTTCTCAATTTGTTGACGCAAGTCAGTTTGTCTTTCCGGTTGTTGGAATAGCGGCCGAGCGACAGCTGCGGGTCAGAGGTGGTCCCCGAAATGGCTTTCGGCCGTCATCTCTGAGAAGTTGGTCGCTAGTTGGGCCGTGGCTCTTTCTCCTTGCGTTTGGGAGTGGGTTGTTACGTGGCTGAGAGGTGGCGTGTGACATAGCTACGCCATTCCCCTGGCCCTGGGACTGTGCTCTTTGTTTAGCCGGGGTGACAAGTGCCATTGACTGGCCGGGTATCGTTTTCGAGGCTCCCGACATGGTTTAAGCCATGAGGGCTGAGATGCCCTTCACGAACTTAGGGTTCTGGAACATGGCTGCAAACTCTATTGTTGTCGGTGCCGCGTTAGGTCTACCGGTGGTTTGGGCCACTCCGTGACTGGGCCCGACCCTGGATGTCTACTCTTCTTGTCCTGACTGAGACGTTGTTTTGTTTTGTTTCTTTTTTTTCCAGAGATTGGGGTTGATATGATGATCGAAAATGTGTCTGTGAATTTTGTTGGGTCGAAGATTAACTCCAAATATCCTATCAAGCCCTTCTTCGAATCAATCGCCGTATTAGCAGCTTTTTGGAATCCATCCCACGTTTTGCATGGCTATTAGTAGAATTGTCCATGTATTGCTATCAGCATTTAATTATTTAAAGGAAAACGAAATCTCATTCAAAGTCTCTGCGTCTCTTACCACGTAAAATCCATATTAATATATCTTTTTCCAATTAATGGTTTTGCTTATAATATAATTATTATACAAGTACGATTAATTCAACTTGCGCAATTTTATTTTTACATTTAGTAGTTGGTGACGAGGGGTGTTCACCCATCGATTCAATTAACTTGAACGGAGTGAATTTGCAAAACCAAAATAATCGAATGTTTCATTTACAATAGTTGAACCTATCGATTTTTTGTCTAAAACAAAATTTAAATTGAGGTAAATAACAGTTTTTTTCAGTCTATTAGCTGAATTGACAAAGATATATTATAATTCATAATATAACTAGATGTATTTATCTTTTACAATTTTTTTATATATTTATTATTTTGTACAAAAAATATAATACGTATACATAGTTACATATTACATAGTTGATCGATTGGATTAATTTTTTTTTTTTCTAATTTAAACCGAAAATTGAACTGAAATAAACAAAATTTCAAAAGCCGACTATAGATTTTTTATAAAGAAAAACGAACCAATATATGTAGATCATTTTTTTTTTTAATTTTATTTATTTATTTTTTTTTTAGCGAAAAGGCTTGAATCCACCTACATCAAATCAATAATAACCCTTTGCCTTTCGCAATTAGAATAATGATTATGCGTAAATGCCGTAGTGTAAAATAAATGGACATATACAACAAAACGCCTTTATTTCACCATCAATGCTAAGAACTAAGAAGATACCAAGAGTTTCACCAATATGAACCGCGTAATATACGCTCATAAACCGGGGCCTACGAAATGTGAAGTTTGAATCACAAAAGAAATCAATTTCGAGTACAATTCTGGTTTTTCTAGAGTTCTAAATTCAATTTATAATTATACTCCGCCATGGTATAAATGAGACAAGATGAACTCAAACTCATAGTATTTGAGCTCTTAATAAGTAGAGTCGAGTTTGACTCGTTAATTAATCGAGTTAGTAATTGAGCTCGAGTTCGACTCGTTTATCAATATTAACGAGTCGAGTTTAAGACCATACAAATCAAACTATATCAAATTATATAAAATTTTCTCTTTTCGAGCATTATCAAGTCAGTCGAATTCTGCTAGATAACTAAACAAACATTAATTGAGTTCGCTCAAAACGTATCAAACTTGAATCGTTTATCAAACGAGTTGGATCGAGCTCGCAAGCGATTCATTTGTTTAACAGTGCTATCAAGTGGACAAAAACTCACTCCAAAAAAGAAAATCAATTATTATTATATTTTATTAAATAAATTGAAAACTGTTTTTTTAATCGCTAAGAAAGCGCAAAAGTCCCTCTTTAAATTCTCCGCCCCAGCCTCCAAAATCCCCACAAAACCAACAAACTCGCCACTCGCAACACTCCATATTCAAACCACTATTTCATTCTTTAATTAACTTAATGGGTCTCAAAATCTCGCCGGCGTCACCGGCCGGTAAATGGCTCGGCTTCGTCACCGCCGTCTGGGTGCAAGCCATCTCCGGCAACAACTACACGTTCTCGAACTACTCCGACGCCCTCAAGTCCCTCATGGGCCTCACCCAGCTACAGCTCAACAGCCTCTCCGTCGCTAAGGACGTCGGAAAAGCCTTCGGCCTCCTCGCCGGACTCGCCTCCGATCGTCTCTCCACCCCCGCCATGCTCCTCATCGGCTCGATCGAAGGATTTATCGGTTACGGCGCCCAGTGGCTCGTCGTTAGCCGCCGGATCCAACCTCTCCCTTACTGGGTGGTAAGCAAACTCAAAACACACACCCAAACACACACACACACACACACAAAAAAAAAAATACGCCCAATTTCAATTGAATCCCCAAATCAAATATCAAAACCCTAGCTGAAAAAATTGGCTTACTCTGTACTCTGTAATTGCAGATGAGCATTTTCCTGTGTATGGGTGGGAACAGCACGACGTGGATGAACACGGCGATCCTGGTCACGTGCATCCGCAATTTCCGAAAAAATCGGGGACCGGTCTCCGGCATCCTGAAAGGTTATGTCGGCCTGAGCACAGCCATCTTCACCGACGTCTGCTCCGCCCTGTTCGCGGACGACCCGGCGAAGTTCCTGATGATGCTCGCTGTCGTCCCCTTCGTCGTCTGCCTCTCCGCCGTCTTATTCCTCCGCGAGGTCCCACCGGCGGCGGCGGAGGACTCCAGCGGCTGCGAGGATAGGTACTTCGGCGTAATCAACGTCCTGGCGGTGGTAATCGCGCTCTACCTGCTGGCCTTCGACGTCACGGGAGCGCACGGCCGTGTCTTTTCACAGATCTTCGCCGCCGTGCTCCTTGTCCTGCTCTCGTCGCCGCTGGCAATCCCGATCTACCTGGCGGCGAGGGATTTGGTCCGTTCGGGGGAGAAATCCGACGACGTGGAGCGGAGCGCGGCGGAGCCGCTGCTGGCGCCGGCGCCGGCGACGGCGGAGAAGAAGGTGGAGACGGAGGCGGCGGAGGAGGAGGAAAGGAGGAGGCCGGTGGTGGGGGAGGAGCACACGATAATCGAGGCGCTGAGGACGGTGGATTTTTGGATCTTATTCGGGTCGTTTTTGTGCGGGGTTGGAACGGGTCTTGCGGTTATGAACAATATGGGCCAAATGGGCCTGGCTCTCGGGTACGCTGACGTGTCAATTTTCGTATCGCTGACGAGTATATGGGGATTTTTCGGGCGGATCCTTTCCGGGTCGGTTTCGGAGTACTTCATCAAGTAAGTCCAAAATTTATCATCCGATTTAATTATGATTTTTTATGTGTGCTATATTTTTTTTTTGCCCACGCGTTGTACGGTCAACTGCTAACACAAAACTACGTGCTTATTTATTCTATATAATAATATATCATATATTTTTATCTTGTTTTTCAACATTGTGACATTTCATTTCAATATATAATTGTTTAATAGTTTCGTTAGATCTGCTTAGAATTTCGATGTAACCTTATTGATATGCATGCTTTGAAAATTTAATTTAAATAATTGTTTAATTTGTTTTACAAATTTGACCGGTATATATTTTAGTTTGAAAATATTGATTAGAAAATAATAATAATGTTGATTTCTTTCATGATGCTTAGTTTTGAAGTTTTGGGATTCGTGATTGGAATCATATTAGAATATGCTTTAGGAAATATAGTTGGTTTTACTTTTTCAACTTGCCTTTAAGGTCTTTGTACTACTTTAGATCTTTTCTGACGCGTGCAGAAAGAATAATAAAATGCGACAGTTTCTTTTGTGATTATTAAAATTGACACAAATTGATTCTAGAGCCTTGTGAAATAAGCAAGTGAGACTTTTATAACTATCCAAAAATTCTTCAGTTTGTATAATATGGTAAATTCTCCAGTGAAATTAGAAAAATAAAAATTAAATTTTAATATTAGACATTAGACGACTCTGACATGTCATATTTTTCTTTAATAATATTAATAATTTGAGCATTGAAATCTCTTAGTCTTGTTTATATTATTTTTTATATTATGACATTTTACCTAACTCTTAAGCATAATTAACAGTAGTCTTAAAAAAACAAAGTTGTGCTTGTGTGATTCCTGCATTTGTTGCGCATTGATTCTAGATATTTACCTCTCAATTATGATACATAAAGTGCATTTTAAATTCAAGCGATATTTTGTTTTCTTCTTCTTTTTGGCTCTCACAAGAAAAGCTACAACTTGTATATAAATTACAATAATTTTGTTTCCTTTATTCATGGATTGGACTTTAGAGTTTGGGCGAAAGTGTAACAGTCAAATCATAGTTTGTATGGTAGTACAGTTCAGTGCTACTACCGTGCGCCCTGGCACACCTAGCAAGGTATGCCAGGGCAGTTTAAAATGAACATGTGCAAACATAATTTGCATATGTTCATTTTAAACTGCCCTTGGCACACAGGGTGCACCTAAGTATCTGCGAGTACATTTAAGTGTGAATAGGCGCAGTTTCTTTCTAATGAAGATGAGCGTTATATTGTAAATAGAAAAATTATTAAATTATAGGGTAAATATTTTTCAATTTGTACTATGTACTTTTGTGTTTTACAACTTACAATATTTTCTTTTGGTAGAAAATACAATCTGAACTTTATGAATTTTTATAATTTGCATACTTGTCTAGATCTTGACTATGCACGTGTCCATTTCGTAAATGATAGTATGGTCAAAAAGTTGGTAAACGTGCAAATTATGAATGTTGATGAAATTCATATTGCAATTTACAACAAAAAATACATACTATGTTGCAAATCTCTCTCAAAAGCAAGTGCAGTACAAATTGAAACCAATGTTTTAACCTAAATTATAATTAAAGATTGTTATTAAGTGTTTGGCTAGAGTTGTTAAATGAAAAGAATAATTCATGCACTTGGCTTGTTAAGACTCGAGTTCGTTGAATGTTTGTTTATTTAACACGACTGCTAATGATTGGAATATAATTTTTTATATAATATTCTTCATTTCGTCTTGTTCATATTGATAAACAAGCTGATCTCAAACTCGATTACTGATTCTTTTAGTTAATGAGTTGAGCAAGACTCAATTTGTTAAAGGCTCGAGCTCAATTACCATGAGCTCGAACTCAATTCAATTTGTTTAAAGTTTAACTCTTTGTGATTTTCACACGTATTTAATTATTAACATGACTTAGTTATTACCGATATCTATCCCTACAATATGGTGGTCCGTGATAGCTTTGCGGTTTACTCATGGACCACCTTTGTTTATGCTTCTGCATCGGTCCTTATCGACTGCCATCATTATTACTTTTTCTTTGAACCCTTTAAATCTCTCTTTACAATGTCCACAACATTTCAATCCACCCAACAGCTATAGCCCAATCTCTTAAATGGTCAATTGTCATATTTAGTAGTGCATGTGTTCGATTTCAATGCATCATGCACATATATCATGAATTCATTTTTATTTTAGTAGGATCATGTTATATATACCAACATTATAGTTGACATAAACTTTGACATGATACGTAGGTAGTACAATTTTGTAATTTTTTTACATCAGGCCATCTTTAATCAACAACTCAAAGTACTTTATGTCCAATAACTCCACNACTAAGCTAAATTTTGATGTTTGTTGGTTTGCATTAGGTTATTAGTGTATGTCTCTATTTGACTTGTTTCTTGTCTAAATTGTGTTGATGTTAGCTGACATATCATACATTTTCGAAATTTTGACTCTGAAGACGAATATTCGAGCTAACCCAAAAAAAACCTCGTTCGAATTTTGCAGGAGGTCCGGTACACCGAGGCCCGTTTGGAATGCGGCCTCACAAATCCTCATGGCCATCGGGTACATTATGATGGCCATGGCTTTGCCGGGCTCACTCTATGTGGGCTCCATAGTTGTTGGCATTTGCTACGGTGTTCGATTAGCGGTGACGGTCCCCACGGCCTCCGAGCTATTCGGGCTCAAATACTATGGCCTCATCTACAATATCCTCATCCTCAACCTCCCGTTGGGCTCGTTCTTGTTCTCGGGCCTGTTAGCGGGCTTTCTCTACGATGCCCAGGCCACGCAAACGGACTCGGGTGGGAACACGTGTGTTGGGGCCCATTGCTATAGGCTCGTTTTTGTGGTGATGGCGATTGTGTGTGTCGTTGGGTTTGGGTTCGACGTGTTGCTGTCGATTAGGACAAAGGGCGTTTATGCGAAGATTTATGTTGGGAGAAAGAAGGCGAAGAAGTTGTCGTCGGGCGCCGGTGGGCAATAGTGAAAGGGTTTGGAAAGTTGGGGGACTGATGGGAAATTTTGGTCCAGTGATGTCCTTGTTATGTAATTTTATTTTATTTTATTTTTTTTCCCTCGGAGTTGTGATGTATGATATATGATTATTGTTGTTAGTAAAGAAATTTATAAATTATTTTGGAGATTATTATTGCTTGTATGGATTTGAATCAGTGTACTGTTTCCCCAATTCTGTATAGTTTATATGAGAATTAAAATTTGAAATAACACCTCATTTACGTTGAAGAGGAAAATTCATCCCTNTCACAACCAATCTTGCTTAATTTGATAGCTCTAGTTGTGTTTTTATTAGTGAAACTAGGTAATGACTTTCAAATTGTCGTGGGTGAGATTTATTTACCCGTGTTCTTCATTCTTGATTTCTTCCTGATCAAGATTATCTGTAAGTCTATATCCGCTATAAGTTGAGGAGTTGCAGATGATCATTTAAAGTGACTGGAAAAATTCGTTCTTTGGTCGAGCTCGAGATTAAAACTTCCGGAGAGTTCACGTAATAGGAGCTCAAGAAGGGTAGTTTCTCTGTGTACAAAGGGGTTCTTGAAAACGGGACTCACATTGCGAGTCAAACGGGCCGTTGTATCTCGTGACTCGGTAAAAAATTCCTAACCGAGCTCGATTTGCTTTCGCGATTGGACAATGCTCTTGAAATTCCACCGCCTCACGACCAAATTCAGTGTCTATAGTTTTCGAGGGGTCTTATTATTGGAGATTCTGAGCGTCCGTGAGGCGATCGACATGAGTTATGAGAAGGTGAAGATCGTCGAGTGGAGGGCAAGATCGTCTTTTTCACATCGGATGTGTATTTGCAGCATAAATTTTAGAGGCATGAAGAAGTATAGATCAAAGATGCATTTTTCTTATGGTGTTGCTTGGCATCAGTTAACTGTGATTATTTTGTGGAAAAATGGCTTTAGTTTTTAAGATGATTTTATGAAGGATGAGCTGTAATAGTGAGTGTTACTCTGTTTGTATTCATATCTGTCATTATTATTATTTTATATTTCCTTCAAACAGTTTGCAAGAACACTATTATTATTATTATTATTATTATTATTATTATTATTATTAGTATTATTATTATTATTTTGGTTATCTGCAAAATTATTCAAGTTGGAGTTATGTGGGTATGTTTAGATATTAACTGAGACATTGCATATCGATCAGGGTCTTTGTAATTTGCCTTTACATTCTTGACATAAAGCAAGCAAACAAACAAACAAAAAAAGAAAAGAAAAAAATTAGAAAATCACTTCAATTGTGCTCCACTTTCTGTTAATTGGAAGAAGTTGGTGAAAAGATTTTTATTTATTTATTTATTTATTTATTTTTTTCGGTACAATGAAAGAGGTACATGACCTAGAAATTTGTTAGGCTAGGGTGCGCCGGGTAAGATACCCCCATAACATCATGATCCAACCATTGTCCTAACCCACCAGGAGGATCCGATACACGCTGTAAACTCACCGCCGGTGAAGTCGTCAAACTCGCCATATAATCCATTGCAAAGTTAGTTTCTCTATGCACATGGTGGAGGCTCACACTCCAGTCATTCTGAATCATGCTACGGATGGCTCGTATTATCGACGTATGAACCCCGAAATCTTCATCAGTACCCAGAATCATATTCTTCACATAAAATTTAAACAATTCACATAAAATATTCATTTTAAATTATCAATACTTCTTAAAAAAAGAAAATTGCACTGTTAATTTTGTTTAAAATGGTACATGCTACTCTTAAAACTCCCTTATAAAATAGACATAACATTTATGTATTTTAAATATGCAATGTGATATTAAATCGAACATTGTTAAAAAATATTATAAATTTACCATAGTATTTTAAAAGAATTTGATAACAAGAAATTATTAGATTCTAAAAGTTCTAATTGGAGAAATTGATATTTATGCTTGAAAAACTTTCATAAGGAATATTAGGCTCAAAATCTTGCTTTAATTACCTTTATGAAAACTTAAAATATATATATATATATATCAAATATCAAAGTTGGAGTGAAAATCACATGATAGTGATGCTCCTCTATTACTATTATTATATGCCTCCCTCAAAAATAGAACTAAATAAATAAATAAGTATTTTATATATTAATTGGTTGGAGACCAGGCACTATCACATTAAACCAAACCTAACCAATTATGACCCCACTCCACACACCAAAATACTTCACACTTTCTTTTTGTTTAGATTTGGATCATCACTTTTATCCTCATAAAAGCTCCACTCAAATGCAAGCCCATGAATCTTTCCTTTCCTTTGCACTGTAATGAACAAATTCTCATGACCTCACAAAATGACTGATTATACCTCAAGCTGAAAGAAAAAAAAAATAATGAAAAGTTGTTTTTTTAAATACATTAAAAGATAGAATCAATCATGACCAAATTATACATACATTTATGCATCTTGAATAGCAATGACTGTAATAAATTGAGGTACTTAGAGCAGTACAAAACCTGCTGCAACTGCCATGTTCATGTGTTCCTTGGAGTAACATTAAAGAATTTACATTTGCATCTCTTCATATTTCATTTTTTTTATTCAATTTATTTTCCCACACCATCCACAACCACAAACTAACCTTCCANCATTCATTTTAAGGATGAAATTGCTTATATAGGCCAAGGTAAAGTTGTGATGATCTTTCACAATGATTTCGAAATGGGTCGCGATTTTCGTACGGTTCTCACTATTTTCATTCTCGTTTTCTTTCTTCTTTCTTTCTACTGCACCCACATATTCTTTATCGAAAAATCCTCGGGCAATGGAGAAAACCCGGATCGGAAAAAGCCACTGATCTTCGAAAAATTGAGATATTTGCTAGCACCCAAGACTTTCAAGAACCGAGAAAATTCAAGAATAAACGGCAAACTCATTTGTTTTTCTCCTTCACCTTCACCTTCACCTTCACCTTCACCTTCGCCTTCACATTCACATTTGGCAATATTGCCTTCTCAGGCGGCACGAGCTCCTCATCCACCATGGCACCACCATACTCCGCCAGCTGTACACGAGAAAAAACGAGCAAAGGGCGCCAAAACATTGGTTCTTACAGCAGCCATTGTCTCGGGTGTTGTTTTGACAGCTTGTTTGTTATGTTCGTTCGGTTTTTTCTTGAGATTCAAGAAAAAACAGAGGAGGAAACAGAGAAGAAAACAGAGGAGTAAAAACGTGTCGAAGCTTGTAAATAGCTCGGTAAATAAGGTAAACAGCTCTGAACATTTTTACCTCGACTCGTTAGAATCCGCTTTACAAGAAGACGACGATTTGTGTCGGTTTAAACCGAGCCCTATGATCGAAAAATCGAGCTCCAACACAAAACTCGTGAAATTAGAGAGTGGCATTTCGAGCTTGGAAATAGATAACATTGTTACTGAGGAAGCTCATTCATCCGATGAAGAATCTTTCCATTCTTTTGCCGATTCGCAATCGTTCGAGCCAAGAATATCCAATGCGTCGGAATCTTCTGTTAATAATCCACTCGAAACCTTAAAATCGGATAGAGTTGAAGAACCTTATTTTTCGCCAACGAAAAATTTGCCGCCTTTGCCGCCACCTGTTCCTCCTCCTCCACCGCCACCACATCAGCATCCGGTTTTGCCAGCTGGACCTCCGGCGCCACCTCCTCCGCCTCTTCTCGGTCAAAAAGTGGCGCTAGGGAAAAACGGGTCTCCATTGCCGAAGCTAAAACCGCTTCATTGGGACAAAGTCAGAGCCGGGCCTGACCGGTCAACCGTGTGGGACCAAATGCGGTCGAGCTCGTTCGAGTGAGATAGTTCATTTCATCTCCATTTACTTTAAAACTCTTTTTTTTTTTTTTTTTTTTTTT